GTTTACACAGAGACAGACTTCTTTAGAGAGAAAAAAAAATATCATGTTGTGTACTTAAGTACCCATTGGAATCTTTTTGTGTGTGACATTTTTTCTCTCTAAATTACTCAAATTTCATTTGTGGATAAGAATCCAGAAACATACAAGTTCCACGTTGTTCCTTCTTTTTCAAACATTGGAAAGATGTCAGAGTAGACAAAGTAAGTGATCCAATACCACTCGTTCACAAACGCCATTAAATATAGTTTCACTGTCTCTTCTTTGAACTTAGACAACATTGGATCAATCAATTATGGTTATGAAAATTTATTCACATCCATTTCACCCCACGCTAATTCCGATCCGTCCCGCATGTCTCCATTCAATGTAATCGTTATTGTTTTACATAATTGTTGAAACAGTGAAATCTACCTAGATGATAGATATTTTGTAGTGTCCCAAAAAAAAAAAGATATTTTGTAGTCATGAAAGTTATTTAGTTCGGGAGCAATTTAAAAATAAATTCTTAACAATTTTGAAGTTGTATACTGTATTGAATAATAAACGTGCATGCATATATATAGAGTTGTCTATTGGAATTTGTGAAGATACAAAGAAAATTGATTTTAGGACCTCTCCTTTTTAGTACCCACTTATATCTAATCAATATATAAATTCTCTCCCACCAAATTGATCAATGGGTCATCTTTACCTTTATCACCTTTTGCCTTTGTGACCATAAAAAGGCTTTGAGAATTTGCATGACAGCCCCGAAAGGTGTGAATATTCATGGATAATAACGTGGCATTCCCATGAACACATAGGAACTCATCATTGAGGAAACTTAAAGAATTATTACAATTTTTTTTTTTTTGCTAACCAAGAGTTATTACATTAATATGAAATTAATCATGTTGAATTCGTAACGATAATTTTCTTAGTTGTGTTTGTTCTATAATTCAGAAAATTATAAATTAAACGTAAAAGAACTAATGATTAAAAAAAATATATGATTAAAGATAATGTTTAGGGAAAATTGGAGAAAAAATACTTTTTGACTATATTTTTGTCAATCTACACCTTTTCTAAATTAAACTCTTTTAAACTAAAATAACTCTCACAAAAAAATTTTAAATATCCAATAACATATTTTAAGGACAATAACAATAAAAAAGAGAAGTAAACACGATCATATTTTTTCTTTTGAGAGAGTTTTGACAAAGTACAAGGAAAACTTTGTGTTCATACATGCTGCTCCTTTTTCGTTTTGAGGATATCTCTTGTGATCTTTGTTTCTTTTAATTTGTTTTAGGTTAAATTTTGTCTTGATGTTTTTCTTTTGATGTTGTTCAAAGTTGATTTCAATTTGTATCTCTCTGTGTATTATTCTCTTCTACTTTGCTTTTGTTTTGATTTGCTTTCGGTTTAACACTTTATAATTTGTCATA